CAGAGGCAGGGGCGGCCGTGGGTCAGCGCCCCGCTCCGTGCTGAGCTGGGCCGTTTTGAACACTGACTTTGTGAACACGGGCTCCCAGGGTTCGTGTAGCTGGTTCAGTGCTCACACAGCTGGCAGGATTAAATATTGTGAGACCATTTTAGACTTGGCAGGTTAGAGCTCGTCCCCTTGAGAAACCTGTGCTATTAATATTTACACCATGAAATACCCCAGGCGCCACATGCGCACCTGCAGGGAGGTCGAGATGCTCCTTCCCCGGCGTCTGTCAGGTCTCAGGGCTCTGGGTGAAGTCGCCACACGGTGACCAGGTCATTCTCTTCACAACACGATAGTTATGAAATAATTTGGGGAATGGCTCAAGCCTTTTCCATGTCAAATTTACATACGTGCCATGTTTGGACAAATGTAACAAATACATTTTTTTAAATGGTCTTTTACTGTGTCTGTAGAGGAGGCATTCGCCGCAGTGACAGGACCCACCGGCAAATTTGCCCAGGAACCTGGAGCTGAAGAAATGGGAACATCTCCCCGGTAGAGCAGGGCAGTGAAAATGTGTAATTTTCAGAGACACGCTTTACAGTCAAGCAGAAAGCACTTTCATTACATGACTTTTCAATGAGTTTTGCAGGGCTCAGAACAATCTGCCTCCTGCGCTTGGAAATAATGACCTTCAATCCAAATGCAAGTGCCATTTGGTACATTTGGAGAGTGTCAACTTCAACTATGATTCTAGTTTTAGTTCATGCACTAGGATCAAGAGGTGTTTCGGGTGGGGGGGGGATGAGTCAAGAACTGCAGAAGTGCCTGCTTCACTCCTCCCCCAGGAACGCCCCAAGTCCACGGGAGGGGAGCTCCCTCTCCCCCTGAGCACTGTCACCTCTCCGGGCACCACAGCCAGAGCAGGCAGTCAGGAGAGTCCACGGGGACTGCGAAATCCAGGGACAACCGGGAATCTGCTCACCTCTCAGCTGCACCTCTCAGCTCTGACTCTGGCATTATAAATTGAAGCCCTGACTCTTACCAGATTTTATGTCCTAAAACAGGACAGATTCCTCTCCACTGTGCGCCTCCTGGGCAGTGTTTCCTGGCGAAGGGGCTGCGCTCTGTGATGTGTACAGAGCTGACCTGACTTTCTCTACTCAGACTCCTCGGAATGTAAGATCAGCTCCCTGAGCAGGCTCAGAAAATCCCGGGGTGGCCGCATTGATTCCTTCTCCCCAATAAAAATGATACCAAAAGATAAATAAAAATCTAAGCACTATAGCTCTGATGCTGTGCCAATCAGTGGAAACATGACAAGCGGCACCCAGCACAGTCCTTGGCACAGAGCAAATGCCAGTGGTTGAGTGTTTAATGCACCACTCAGCAGTATACCTACTTTCTTTCATATTATTTCAGGAAATGCACCCCTGTTATTACAGGAAAACTAATTTACCCTGAGCTTTCCAAGATAAGAGCTGTATAAAAATCGAACGATTTGGGAGATAGATATTTTTCTGTCATTCGCGGTTTTCAAGAGCTTTAGGTGATCCCAAACCAGGGAACTGATGGGGGAGGGGGAGGTGTAGGTGATTCAAAATGCCAGTAACTGAGGTTCCTGGATCCTAAACGCAGCAACCCCGCCTGGGAACAAGGGCCTGCCCGTGCTGAGGCCCGGCAGCTGGCCCTGGGACCTCCTCACCTTAAATCCCCCCGATTTATGATGCCTCCCAGTTACAAGGGAAATGGAGAAAGAGCAGGTGAGCAGGTTAGTTAAATAGTTTAATCAGAGCAGTTTTACAATTCTAAAATTAACAAGCAGACTTGTAATAAAAGAGCTCCAATGTTTGCAAAATGACTGCTTCCATTCTGAACCTGCCTTTTTATTTGTAAAGAGCATTACATTTAAAAGGACTCAAAATGGAGTGACTGATTGATCATCCGTGTCTGTTGATGCAACTGATGAACTCCCTGAATGGATATTGCTTCAGCACTGGTATTAAAAAATGGCCAGACGAGAGGTCCTTACTCAACAGCTGGTCACGGGTGGCCTAAGGAAAGAGAAAACCCACAGAGGTCAGGTCCACAGAGTCACGTTGTTGGTGGGTGGCGCTGGCTCGGGACACACGTGCGCCCACGGTGCTTTGTGCAACGCTGTTGAGAACGGTTGTCGCGGACGTTCTCTCGCGGGGGCAGCTGGCTTCCCGAGGGTTTTCTCTGTTGGTTTAAACTTGCATAATCAACATGCGATGAGTTATTTCTTTTGAAGGTGTGTTTTTTAGAGTCTGTTCCACACACAGATTTCGGAGTTGCAGGGCTGCATCAGCGTCACGGAGAGGAGGGCTGGAGCGTGGG